AGATTGGGAGCCCGTGGTCTCAAAACCCGGCATACACGACCCCACGAAAAAACAGAAAAAAATAGGGTACAAAAAAACACTCGGAAGAGAAACAAAATGATAGAAAGAAAGACCAGCTACCGCACCAAACGAGAAAGAACGTCGAGGAGACCGATCAAAAGAAAATAAAAGGAGAACGGGGAACGCTTCCCACANCAAAATCGAAGGACCACGTACACCAGTACCAGATACTACAGCAGTGCAGGATGCACCAGCGCATTAGTGAGTGTAGAGAGGTGCACAGCACAGCAGTGGTACTGCATCGTCTAGGATCGAGCGTGATGTGTTACTGGTCCTCCCGTGCTGTGATGTATGTGTGCCTCTCTCCAGAGCAGAGTCAGAGGCCGCTCCCTCCCGCCGCGTCGCAACACAATAACAACAACCAACCGATGGACCCACAGAGACCCAATCAATATCTCTCCTCTCGCTTCCTCCGCCGAAAGCTAGCAGCAGCAGTAGTATAGGGCACACCCTGCTCCCGTCCCGCTCTCGCTGTGTGGTGTGTGCAACACACGCTGGTTGGTGGGACTCCCTCTCTCTCCAGAGAAAAAAAGGCGAACAAAAGGCCGGCAGCGTTGAACAACAACAAACAACGGAAACAACAACAACAACATCATCAGCGATGAACCCCAGACCAACCAAACGTTCCCCGCTTCCTCCGCCGTCGCCAACAGCAGTATGTGTGTGTGTCCCGCCCCCCTTGTCCATGTTCCCTGTCTCTGTGTAGTGCGTGTCTTGCCAGTAGCAGCAGCAATGTGTGCAGCACGGCAGTGCGTCGTGGTTTCTTGCGTGCGTGTAGTTTGTTGCCCAGAGAAAAACAAAAATGACGACGCCTCCCGGGGATGCGTCCATGTGACATATATATTTGCACAAACGGTGTGCTATCTCGAGACACCGACCACGGATTGCAAAGGTAGCGGTTGGGACAGCTCGGGCAAAATATTACTTGTTGTGCGCAAGTTTTAGTTTGCAATTTGGTGCCGAGATGGTGAAATGGGCTCGAGTCTGCTGGGTATTTAGGGCGCGCAGACAGACAGACAGACACCCGACAGACAGACAGCCATGGCTAAATTTTCACGCCCCTGTGCATGAAAATTATTCTTTTTCTCGTGCGCACATACTCCCCACACGATCCCTCTAAACAGGTTTTTTTTTTGCAAAACAAAACAAAAAGCGTACCCCGAACGGGCCACACTTTTTCAAAAAAAAAACTATTATAATTAAAGATTGGAATCTTGAGTTACTGGAAATTTTTCGTCTATGTCAGAAATCCTTGAAGATAAAGAAAAGAAGTTAATGATAAATTGGTAATGTTTATATAGAGAGTACAAATAGAAATACTTTTTGTATTTTATTGGATATGCAAGATAAAAAAGTGACAAACAAGTTGTTCCTTGAAAATTGCTCGAGTATGAAAATGAATATAGTTAATGAGAAAATCTTCTTTTTTTTCCCTCTCCTTTCAAAACTCAACCCGAACACACTTACTTGCCATCGTTTTGCAACCTACGAGCGCAGCGGCGACCCCCGATGTTGCGATCGTCCGCGGGTCGCCCTTTTATGCTACTTCGTATTTCCTACGGCACTGCGACGACGAGTTTTGCATCAGGCGGAAGGACAATGTTCTATAAGGTCCTGTCTCTGCCATGCAAATGGTTAACATTTTGCCGGGGTGGCTAAGTGGTCTACCCCCTGAATCGCGGCGTCGTCCAGGACATGTCGGAAGTTCACATCCCGACTTGTGCTCTTTTTTTATTTTCTGATTCGAAAAGAAAGAAGAGGAAGAACTTGTGCGGGAAAGTGCGTGAAAGGAGGAAACACACTAACTAACATGTAAAAATTCTAGCGAAAGAAAAAGCATCCCTACCGTCTGAAGCGAGTCGGCAACCGTAGGTTGGTGGTCCTGGGGATTACTTCCCGCTAGGCTTCAGTGCTAGAGAGTGTTATAAGGTCCTGTCTCAGCCAGGAAAATAGTTAACTTTTTACCGGGTGGCTGAGTGGTCTACCTCCTCAACATCGTTGACGAATGCATGAGGATGGAAGACTGATGACAACATTTCCCGCGAAGCTTCTGATCTCCTGCCAGTCGGTCTGTGAGCTGAGGAAAGCTGCTAGCACGTGCAAAGGCAGAAGATAGAAAGATAGCAAGGGGAGTACCTGGTCTTACACATCTACAAAGAAAGCCATGTGCGCGAATTCCCACGAAATATTGAAATATTTGACTATATCTGAAAGTCTTCGTTCGTGCTTGACAGCTGAAAAACTATCCGTTCTTGATTCACTCACTTCTCATTCAATTTCAGGTACACAGCCAAGCACGAAAATAGCTGCTGCATGCTTTCCCCGACATGCGTGTGCCCGCGCAACAATTTGACTGCTGTACTGTACAGTAGTACCGCAGTCGGGGATGCGTCTACCACATTTTCCCTGAAAGTGCATTGTCGATGCCTGCTTGCGTCCGTTTGAAGCGAAGTTACTGGAGGCAGTCGAAGGAAGCGACGGCGATTCGCACGGGGTTGCGCCCCTATTACAGCCAGCCTACCTTGCACTCACTCGTACTTTTGTTGCTTGAGCAACAAGAACAGGCCGAGAAGCGCGTGCGTAAGGACTTTTGTCGGGAAGGGACAGGTCTGTTGTAGACACTCGCGCACGGGAGGGTGGTGGGTGTGTCTGTGTACACGCCCCTTCTCGCTCGTCGCTTCCATAGATAAATATGTTTCGTAGCAATCAGCAGCAGTAGTTGTATCCCACACCCTCCCGTCTCTATCGATCTCCCTGTCATCTCCCTTCCCCCAGCCATATCTCTCTCTTCCTTGTTACACCTCATGAGACTAGAGGCAGATTCCGTGGCTGGTGTACTCTCTCTATTGCATGTCGGTACACTCGTTCATTTGATGTTCGACTACTTTACCTGCCATCTACACCCTACATGGATGATGGGTGCTTTATTCTGCTCGTCGTCATTGCAGGTATGGCAAAAATTCGAATCTGTCTACGCATCGTCACTGTTGGTATGGAAACATTCCGAATCTGTGGGGATCTACTGTAGACTGCTATAGGGTACGATGGCTACCCATCTGGGCCGGGATGTCCACCGAGATACAAAGTACGGGTGACTATCGTGACTACACTATCGTTCGCCGTGCGATGCTGCATGACATGCAGACTTGATGCAAAATACTTGAGAAACATGCGGTGCCCAATAAGGGTAGACCTTGGCGAGACTTCCGGCGAAGAGATGGAATAGGGAATAAAGAATGGAGTTAACGAAAAACTGTACCCTTGCGGGCCTTATTGTCGTATGAAGTCGTGAAACCGTCGCCGTTCGCCAACAGTCGTTGCCGCGTTCTCTCTGGCTCGTCATCTACGTTGTACCTCATAGCACTTGCTAATGAAATCCCTGGAGAATCGCCGTTGTGAAGGACGCATGCATGCCATGCCGGAAAATGAAAATATCATTCACCGCATAAGCACTGCACCAGAGACTGTTGATGTACATCAGGCAGCAGGTGACGGCGTCCAATCCACAGTAGCGTTTGGCCACTGTGGAGTATGAGCAGGTCTCCTGATACTGAAGTGTCAGGGTCGTGGGTGTAATGGTCGTATGAGTCTAACAGGGATAAACGAATCTAGGAAGGAATGCACCCACATCACTTTGCAAGCATTCGGCCGTCCGATTATAGCATCTGACCAGCAAGCGCGCGCAAAGCTTGCACATTACGGTATACGGGGAAACTCCCAGCATCTGCGTGATTTCACTCGCCGTAACGGAAAATTCAGCGATCGAGTATACGAAAAATCATTTTTGACCTACAATGATTGGCCAGAAACAGGAAAATCAAAATCAAATATATATGGGCAAGTTATTTGCACTCCTGCTGTATGGTATAAGCTACAATATGGAAGTGTCATGTGTGACGTCTGTGACCATTTACCTCTGTCTCCATTTCATCTGATCTGTCTCGACCAATACACCTGCCGGTCTCTCCACTGTTCTCTGACTCCTGTTGCCTATCGTCTACGGGAGTGAGTGATCTTATCGTCTTCATATCGACGTCTGGCAGCTTCGCCTATCCCGTACCTCACTCCTTGCCCGTTTGTCTTGTAAGGTGATATGTATGCACGTTATACACTAGCCCGGTCTGTTGATTTCACTCCAAGCAAGTATTTGTTCCGACCTTCGCTTTCAGCCTGCCGGTAGCGTCTGACAACCAAAATATTTGCAGGTTCGTCCTCGTTCTGACCTACAGGGTCGATACTAGCAACATGTTGTTTCACCTGCGAAATGCCAACGGTAGCGGTCGCTCGAAGCGCTCAACTCGCTTCCAATACGTCAACTATGTGGCGTCCGCCCGATCTTGTACATGATCCAATCAATATTCACTATTCAAAGGTGTAGATGTGAAGTCAATAACAAACGAAAGAGCCAACATATCAATCTTGGTATGAAATTTATGCGTGTTGTTTATCGACTGCCCGGCGTGCACTCAAAGTTGGGCTTTGTCTTGGAATACCGTAGTTCACTTTGGGTCGTGGCGCAAAGCGCCGAAGCCCATGAAGGCCATTCCTCGAAATGTGATATTCTTCCATCCCCATGACAATATCGTAGGAGTACCGATTTCGCTCGCGAACGCCATCGGGGGAAATCATTCATGCTCCCAAGAGGTTCTACGCAAATATATACTCCTGTTCAGTACCACTACCGCCACTCCTATTTTCGTACAGCTTCTCGACGGAATCACATCACACCATGCGACCGCTTCGAATGAGTCGGTTTGTGCGTGTGTTTTCGCAGATGCCGGCTGGCTGCTCTACAAAGCGGGGGAGAAGGCGAAAGCACCCGACACGTCTTTCGTATTGACGGTGAGGGGGGCGTCAAAAGCTTGTATCTGGACTGACTTCCATGTCGTAAGCCCAATTATCTTTCTGACGCGGTATAGCTACACAGGCGCACCGCTTCGATGCTACCGCTGTTCCACCAACGTTGTCAGATCTTGTTGCCAGTAAGCATAGCTTTTTCGCGAGGGGTCGATGCCGGGAATCAAGTGGATATTCTTACGACGAAGGCTTGATGCCACTTGATACCGCTCGTGCTCTCTTCTTTGGTAATCAAAAGGGGATGTACTTCGAAATAGGTGGTAGTTCAAGATGACGCGCATAGTATTTCCGACGAGAAAAGTACTCTAAGCTGTGGAATACATTGGTGTTTCGAGAAATCGAAGCATTACACTGCTGAGTCCATAAGGCTCGGGCACGGTGGCCGACGCTTGCCCACTGACGGCAAAGGTCACGTCAAGCGTGACTGGCCCCATAGCTTGTTGATGAGACACTTGCCGCACCCCGTCGAAATTTCAGAACGAGGTATACAAGTACCCCGACCTCTGGATTTGCCCGTACGTTAACTACGGCTGCGACGCCTGGGAACTCGAGGAGGAGTGCGTGGCGTCTGCGTGGATGACCGAAGGAGGCGAACCGGACGCAGTTTTTTATCCCCGAGTCAAATTGGACCAGCTCCACCAAGTAACGACCGAGGAGCGACAAATCAATGCTATCCCTGATTTGACCAATTTCGACAGCGAGGGGAACGAGCAAGAAAATGTGAGCCTCGAATCCTCCCTTGGTTCCTGAATCTTGTTGTACTTCTTGGTCATTTTTGGGGCGACGGTTTCCCATGAAGACTTGCGTTGCTGCCTTGGAATGTACGGTGGTGTTGTTTTTGACCTCTTCACATTAAGTATCGATGTACCCAAGCCGAGGTAGACGGTGCAGGTGGGTGATATGCCTCGTCCCTTGCCAAAAGGCGCACTCTGTGCCGATTACGCATCAGCTCTCTCCACCGCAGCAAGGGTGTCGGTGTCGAAGATGTAACGTCGACAGCTCTGGGAACAACATCTTTCAGTGTTAACCTCCTTGTTGCCGACAGGGCCATCGCGTCTGTTACCCGTCTGCCGAGACAATGTTCGCACGTCGATGAATTTTCTTCGTCGACGAACACATGGAGCTCGGGTCCGTACCGTACGAGAGGCTGCCCACGCTACCGTACTCAAACATGTTGTGGTGGGACACAATCTAGCCGCCGTTTCGTTTGTTGGGTTCACGGTACTGTAGTACCAAGAATACAGGCTCGAACTTCCGTGGGAAGCCTGCGTGTCTGAGCATCTAAATTTCTCGGCCGCACGCGAATCTTCCCCGGGTCTTCCCCATCCTACCGCGTCGTGGTGTGATTCGTAGGGGAGAGGCCACTGCGTAGTTTTCGAGACCTCGGCTATTACGGACTTCCTTGGACAAGAGCGGGACCCCCACGAGTACTTGGATTACGTCCATTTAGATGTGAGTCACGTGGACCGCCGAAGGACGACCATTAAGAGTCACGAAACGCTAGTTTATGTTTATTTTATTGTGTACATGCGGTACTTCCTATATTGTGTCGAGGTGTCAGGTCCCTCACCGCGTGCCCACCGCTATACCTCTCAGTCACAGTACGCCCACGACTAGGTGGACCTCTTTCTTTTCCTTCGGAATCCACAATATTTTGAAACGTGAACTGCCTCCACGTGATCGAATTGACTTGCTGTTCCCGACGTGCGTTGCGGTTCCCGACACCAACGTATCGATTTGAACATTTGTATCGAAGCCTAAAACCAGCGTTTGGGTTCCACATCGAGGGGTTGCACCACCCCGTACGTTTCAGGGACACACAACTGTCTGCCGGGGCGAAAACAAAACCGGCCGACGGGCGTCGGGGGGGGAGTGACACTCCCCTCGATAGCCTCAACAGCTCACGTGCACTGGGCGAATGGGGCTGGCTGTGGTTCGGGCTGATGCATGGAAGCAAAAAGTCGCCAGGGTATTCTACCTGTAGGACTGGTGGCGAACGGCTCTCTCAGCCAACATGAGTTGGAACCTGTTATCGGATCCACCGTACCGCTATCACGGCCTTGTCGCCCCGACAAACGCATGTTCTTCGCTGATGAACAGATGTACTGGTACCCCGGCGGCAAATTCGGAAACTCCACGACGTGCGTCAACGAAGGGGTGGAGTGGGCGGACCATAGGTGAACACACGTCGTTTTGGTTGTTGTTTTTTCCCGACATTGGATCTCCATATCAATTTGGCACCAATAACCTTGTGCTGTGGCGATGGATTGCCCTTGACAATCCTCTGATCATGGGGGGTGTATTCGTCTTCCTGGACGGAGAGATGAACCTCAAGCATCTGCATCCCTCACGGTGCTTTCGGATAGCCTGACAGGTCAACATATTCAAGTAATAGCCGCCTCCGTACTTCACGCATTTTCCACCCCTTATCTTGCGGCAGGGAGTGGGTTTATGGCTTCCTGAGCGACCCCGAGGATCCCACAGCGATTTCAACAGGATTTCCGTTGTCCTACAGCTGCATCACGAATACCTCCAACACCCACATCTTCAACACGCTTGTGAGCAACAATTCGTCATAATGTTGTCCGGGGACGAAAAGATCATGCTGCTTGGTGACGTGGGGGAAGTTTCAGCTTGAACCACGGTTAGCCGCGACTTTCGTCTCCACAATACGTTCACCCTACGTGGGAGGCCATCACACCGGACTAACGAATAACCCCCTTGTTTATGAACTGCCTTCGCCATCACCCTTGAAAAGGCAAAATCATCCTCCCAATGAAGCATTTCGAACACGTTGGATTCTTTCAAGGTGTGGCCTTTGTGTTGTCCTTCTGATTGGCGGGTAATGGCCTAGTGAATGCAAGAGAAGCTGTGTTCCCAACAAGTCATCATATTTTGTCTTACCTTTCTGTGTTTGCGGTCGTGCTTCACGTGCTTGTGCTGCATGCATTCGTGTCAGGGCGTTGGACTCACGAACCAGATCAAGTTCATGTCGGATGACATCTCATCCTACAAAGCGTTATTTACGAATTTCGGGGTTCACAAGAATGCGGTAAGTTGTCGCTGTCGCTGTCGCTGTCGCTATCTCTGTCGCTGTTGCTGTCGCTGTTGGTGTGTTGCCATCCCGGCACTTCTCAGTCGTACGCAATCGTGCTTCAAAAATGCAGGTGAACCCAAACATCACGATGCCCTACGCCCACGTGTCTCTGGAGATGAAGCAGCAGGCGGACTCTTGGGAGATCATCACAGAGTCCAACCCGTACGAGTTCGCCGAGATGTTTGGCAATATTGGCGGCTTTTGGGGTGAGTGAGACCTGTGGGACCCCTGTCTAATCGAGGGGGCTTGTTTGCGTTCTGAGGAATGTGTATTTCCTGACCTCAGGGATGAAATACCGTTGTCTTACACACCACCGCATCGCTGATCATTTTTCAGGACTGATCTTCACGAGGCAGACATACTTCATCGTCGAAGTCACGCCGCATTTCTCCCTCGTGAACGCTACACGCGAAGAACCACTCGTGGACCAACAATCATGTACGACCTTGTGTGCTGCCGCAATCGCTCTGTGTCCTACTTTTTTCCACAGCACCCTTCCACAGGAACGTACTACTTCAACGTACATCTCTACTGCACATCAATCAACACCGCGATAGCGTCATGCCATTCCCTCTCCTGCCGCTATGGATGATGGCAGCCTCCAAACACAGTGGCATCGCTGTTACAGCGTGCAATAAACGCTTAGACTATGCCATGAAAAAGTCCACAATTGAACCCGACAGACTTTGCAGGTCGACACGATACTCCGACTGCAACCTAGCGCGAACGCCTTGGTCGCACCCGACGCAACTCTACCTAACGAACTGCGAAGCGTCTTCCCGTAGATTTTTTAACGGCTTGCAGGCATTTTCACCGGGCTGGAATCCGCCCCGTTCTACCATTGGCTCGAATGATACCATCCTCATTAGGGTTTTCACCAATTCTGACAATCGCAGGCATGGTTGATTTTGCCTTGTGTGTTTGCATGTTGAAAAACATGCTTTAACTTGGAAGTTACTTCAACTAGCTATCCGACTCAAAGTTAGCGGAGCTAACACACATCGTGCACTTCATACTGAACAATGTTTTTCACTCCGTATACATGCTTGCTCTTCGCCCCGACTCCATTCCCTGGGCCGGTCCACGTCATCATGAGCATTGACGTGGGTTTACGCACCCACGCCCTGAGTGCGAAAACACCAACCGCAAGATCAGGTAGCTCGCCCCGACTAGCATGCCTCCGTTGTTTATCACGATTCTGCTTGACCATGTCCTGCACCTGTGTATGCATTTCCTGTTGAACAGCCACAACGTCGATCCCCTTTCGCTTCCCCACCTCGTCAATTAGCACGTCTATCTGCCGGTCTTTTCCAGAAGCAGACGTTATCGTGGAACAACTAATTCGCGGTGCGCCACTAAACAGTACATGACAGGGCGTACTCGCGTAACGTTGACCAAAAGCGGTATTCTAAAACCCCTGTATGGCCGAGACTGAATCAACCCACTCGCGTAAGTCTCTCCTTTGTTCCCGTAAAACCGTCGTCAAACCACGGACTTTTTCCTTCATCATCCGTTCTAAGGTTCCCCCCTGGCATGTTGACTACCACATGCATCACCCCAAAGCATGTTCGAGGTTTTGTCATTTTGAGGTTTTTCAAGTGAGATGCGATGTCGCTGACCCACACTTGCGCAGCACCCAGAGCCTTTAACCAACCCAGCAAAATTTTTGTCTGTTAGAGCGGCCGTGCGTCCCTCTGTTCGTTCAAACCACACGAGGTTGCTAAGATTGGTGCTTTGATAACCCATCACCACAAAAAGGTGTTTGGAATCCAACTCCCTCTTCCAAGCCTTCGACTTTCAACGCCCCACTGTGGCCAAAATACAGATAGTCACCCTAAATTTGCTCACCCGGCCTAGTGCCTTGCGTTTCTCCAAGAAGCCTTGGAACCGTTTCATCCGCCGTCGAATCTACACACCGCAGGCACGGTTGACAAATGATTTCACCTGACTCTCCATGCGAAACCAACAGCAGAATAGTTTTTCAATCGATGCAAAGTTGCCTCCGTGCCCCTATGTCCTGCCCCTCGCATATGAGCGCAAACCATGAGCCGTTGTGGTAGTCCTGTGGCACCTTCACGAACACATATGGCTTCGCGCCCCTTTACCTTGATATGAAAGATTTTTTCGCTGTCCTCCACGGCCTTTCTACAGGCCGCCATGAACCACGTGCTCCAAACGCCCTACTTCTGACGTGTATGCGTGTACCCTGGCTAACTCGATGTACGACCTCATTCGATGGCGTCGCATCGTCAGATTTGCTCGGCGCAAACACAGCCACTGCCCTAACCTTCATTGCAGGAACAATCGATCCACCTCGACAGACAGTAAGTCCCTGCGGCAGTTCTTCTCGCCAAAGATGTGCCTCATGGTGTACTGGACCTGCGCCGTCACCACCTTTCACTGCTCTAGACTCCGGGCAGCAGTCTCGGGCAACGACGACACGCACGCATGAGGATTGAACATGTGTGCGAGATTGCGATGGTCGGCCTATGCACTCACATTGGCCCACAGTAGGTACGCCAGCCATTCCACGTGCCGATGGCGAAATGGTCTTTGACAACAGTTGCTCAGCTCATCTGAGAACCTTCGAACGTATCGGTGAGGAAGGCGAGTGGCCCGTGGGCTGCAAGACTGCCGTAAATGCGCACACCCAGTTTCATCAGGGTTACCCCTCTGAGCAGGATCGTGTTGCCCTCGCCAGGCATGACAGAAAAACGGCATGTTCGCTCCAACACCACTGGACGGTAGCTTCAATCGCATCAGGCATGTCTTTTTCGGTTTGAGACAGCATACTACCGTCTGCCATCCAGACATGATGCGCACCGTCCGTGGGCTGCGTGATTAGAACTCTAGGAAATCAAACGTGTAGCTTGCGCGCGACGCGTTCCGACATAGACGTCGGATCAGACCCGGACCTCTGCACCGCCCGCACCGGGCACGCCGTACACCCGGCTGCCCCCGGCGCAGACAAACCATCCAAACACCCCATGCCAACGCGATCCACGTGGATTCCTTCGGCGTGCATGCTCACGACACCATCCATGGTCTTGGACCGCCACGCTGGAACCTGCATAACGTCAGGCGATGCAGTGGTCCCGTGAGCGGGAACAAGCGGCGGGGGAAGAAACGCTGCCAACCCATCACGATTCTGCTCCTCCGAAGAGGCGGCCCTACCTTGGACGATTATACCCGGCTGCTGACCCGCTCGCTGCTACTGACGAGGTCGCGCCGGACACTTTCCGGACCCGCCGCCGCAGCGGCAGGTTTGCCCCCGGACTTGTCTGGCACGGCCTTACTGCAATCCCGGGCGAAATGGTCTTGCTTGTCGCAACATCCAGCAATTCACAGAAGAGACTGACTAGCCACCCTGCCCACCACCGGAACGTTGACCCGGTTGCTTGCCGGGCGCGCCCTCACGAGCCGCCTGTTCAGACATCTAGCCCACAGCACGAGCTCCGCCACGGGTTGTTTCACCCCGCGCCGACCTATCTATTTCTTCCTGTCAGTAGTTGCCTCAGTTTCCCATCACCGTCATCACACACGCCCAGGATCAGTGTTCCAGTTGCCTTGGAGCTCGAGAGGGCTCTCGGCGTTCGCCATACGCTCTGGGCCTGATATCCCCCTCACCAGAGCCTTGCTAGCGACGTGCGTCGACTCCTGGCTCAAACCGTCGTTCGTCGCGGTACAGCCGAGCCACGATCGTGTTATCCGCAACAGTGTATTCCAACGAACTACGGACAGCACATTCTTCATCAAGCGTGGTTGCATCCCCGCCCTTGTACTTGGACTGGGAGAACAGACCTTGTTCTCTAGCGACTCGCGAGGACTCTTGGTCATGAATCACGTGGCGTGTACCGACCGATGTTGCTCATTGATTTATTCAACTTGTAGCCTCGGCCGTCACAAACCCCTTCCGCTTGCTCTCACGCTCACAGATCTTCTACTCATACTGTGGCCGCTATGCTTTGTCGCGGCCACTCAACAAGATCCCCACCTCAAACCTCGAAGCTTCACGAAGTCAGCCGTCAGGGGAGCACAACGCGTGGCGGGTGTTACCAAAATGGTCGCGCGTGCGGCACCGGTCAAACACACCAGCTCAACAAGCCATGCATCCGCGGTAGATGGCTTCGAAGACCAAGAAGAAGTGCCCGCGTGGGATCGACAACCCGCGCAACGACAGCAGCCCCCCCAGTCAGCCACTAATTGGCAGGAAGCGCGCCGCGTTTGACCTCGTCCCTCAAGAAGCAGGGCGGATGCCTTTCACATTTTGAGGACGAAAGCACCCCACGAGCGGGAAAAATGTAAACGTCAGGGCATCGAAAGCGGGGGAGCCGTGAATGTAGAGGCGAATTGGCTTCTCCGGATAGGGCAACACGTGCGGCTCCTGGGTGGTGGTACCACTAGCAGCGGGGAAGGTCCATGTTTAAGAATATACCATGGTAGGTTTTTTTGAGTCGTAAGGTGGATTGCGTTTTATCTGCGATTAACATCGACCCACCCTCGCGCCCGGGCGAGCGTTTTGCGAAGAGCAGGCAGCAGCTCCAGCGTCTCGCCGCGTGGTTGTTAGGGCTTCTGCTGGCCTTGAGTCTGGACTTGTTGGAGGGGGGCACCACACGGTGTTGTATATTTTGTATACATATGGCACTCATTCAGCGGCACGGGACGGCGAAGAGATGTTGGCTGCAGACGACGTAGAGTGAGCGTCATCGAGGCCACAAGGGCAGTTTTGAAGGTGGGACGTGCGCAGTGGACCAAAAGTTCGGAGTTTGTATTTGGGTCTAGCGTTATGAGTGTACATACAAGGGTATCGGGTAAACTCGGCCATGGTGACGAGCGTTCGCAAGACCGTAGACAGGAACTGATGGGAGTCGACTGAAGTATCGAGAGGTTAATGTAGTTTTGTGCATTCCCCGGAAAACTGAGTGATAAATACGGACCTACGATCGAAACAAAGGGCGACCGACGAAGCAAAGATGGTGCACCGACGAAGCAAAGATGGTGCGGTATTTGTTTCAATGGCCGGCATAGCACAGGAGGTTTTTCGACGGGTTTTACGGCATTGGGTACGGATCCGATGCTGGACGATATGTGAATTGCTCTTTGTACTTTGCTTGTGTTGCTGTGGCATCCATAAAATTGTAGTTTCTCGAGAGGAAAGCGAGTTTGAGAAACGATCAACCGTTATATTGTTGGTTGTGGTATTGGTTGTCTTGCAGGCTGCTCTTGTCATGTGTTGTGTGAAGATATTCGTAGTGTATCCTTAAATGGTGCCCCAGTACAATTCTGTTTGTTTTTTCGTAGTGGAAGTTCTCGGTCTCATCCTTAACCGAAGTGATGTTTTTCGATGCCTAGCAGGCATTGTGAGATGCCATTTGTTCCTGAATCCATACGGGATGACGGAGTTACCGAGTGGTCGTTTTCTCTGCCGCCATCCAGCCTGTACGTCCCACTAACCTACCGAAAGGGGAAACCATTGACGCGACAGCGGTGTAGGAAACGGGGTGAACGTTCCCGAAGAGGGTGACACAGTTGACCGTCTTGTAGGGAGTCAAGACAAGTGGCCGACGGCAGGCACCGTCCGATTGGCAGTTGAAAGTACTCCTTGCTTGCGTATAGTACACACGAGGGCCCTCGGCGATCGAGGGGCATGCGTGAGTGACGAAAGCAGGTGTTCCCGTGCTTCCTGTGTACTCTCGACAAGGACGACGTGCGCAACCAAACAATGACAACATATCGTACGCGAAAGATACTTCTTTGAACTTTGAAGCCAATACATCAACGGGAAATCAACGACAACGCTAAAGTCCACCGACTTCGATCGCCATCCTGTTGGAGCCGCAATAGCTCCTGCCAGCTTGAAAGCTCCTCCCACAATCACCGACGCCGCGATCCCCGCGACGTTCACCGCTCGTGTCCACCGGTTGGTTGCGGGTCGTGACGGTTTTGAGAGACCTGAGACGGCTCCCCTTCGCGCCCCAGATGTGATCTACTGCTGCTGCTGCTGCTGCCGTGGACGCACAGCAATATTGGGGGCGCGGAGAGCGTGGAGAGCGGTGGGAGTTGCACGAGGAGGAGCGTAAAGGGAGAGTCAACCCGGATGGGGAATCAATTTGCTGCTAATCCTGATTCAGGGTTGACCGGAAGCGGGGTAGGGTTCTTGAGAGGGGATGATTATCTTGTGGCGTGCGCGTTTAGCATCTGCCAGGTTGAGGCTGTCCTTCGTTAGCAAATTTACCGCGAGCAGATCCTGGCCACAGGATGAACCAACAAACGTTTTCCACATGTATTGAGTGGGTTTTGTGTCGGGTGAGGTGTAAATTTTCAGCTGTGGGGACGCAATATCAACACATTAGGCATGCTGGTAAATACATGTTTGGTGGTCTGGTACGGCCAGCAAACATCGTCCAGGCCCCGCGGCGGCCACAAACCTGCACCGGCATGTTTATTACCAGTTGTCAGGGGGGACAGGTGACGGCCCCAAGATTGCAGCTGACTGATGGGTGGGTGCTGAGAAGGGCGACCCTGCATGTGGTTGTGATATTCGGTACACAGCTTAGCGGGCTATTGATGCCCGCATTGAGCGGAGCACGCCCCGTTCTGCGCTGTAGGCGTGTACCGAAAGGCCGGGTGCTTATGTTGCTGAGGGCTGCTTCCGAAAGGGGCCGGTGACGATAAATGTAAAATCGCTTCTACACACAGAACCAGTGCTATTCACAAACGGATGAAGTCTGCCCGTCCGTGTGTACCCACCCACCCCAGTTCTCTTGTCGAGAAGTGAAGCCAAATATTGCAGACACATCGACTGCCGATCGGTAGGGTACGTGCCATGGATATCTCCTCGAGACGGCAGGTGAGCGGGGTCTCCCATACTTTCTATAGTTTGATGAAGCGCCCAAGAGAACTTTGTTGTACATGGTAGACATTTGGGCATGCCCGTGGATAGCCCGTGTGCAGCCTGTGGACGGCCCGTGGGCAACCCACGGGAAGCCCCTGGGCGGCCAACGAGAGCCCTTCAACCGGAACCAGAGTACTCCCGAACAATCGATTATCTGCGTTGGAACGGGCAACATAGCGGCTCATGACCCTAACGCTATCCCTAACCATAACCCCAAGCCCACACGATACGTGCTAGATTGGCGCTGGTGGCTAAATTCTATGGTAGGTTGATCTGGTGGGCATTTCATGGGCACTTCGTGGGCTGTCCACGGGTAACCCATGGGTCACCCATGGGCAGCCCACGGGCAGCCCATGGGCAGCCCACGGGCGGCCCATTAAGTGCCCAAGAAGAAACTGTGGCCGCTATGCTTCGTCGCGGCCACTCAAGAAGATCCCCACCTCAAGCCTCGTAACTGCAAGAAGTCAGTCATGAGGGGGGCCGAATGCGCGGCCGGCGTTACCAAAGTGATCGCGCGTGTGCTGCCAATGAGACACTTCCGGCACAGCGAGACAAGGGTCGGCGGTAGATGGCTTCGAAGGATCAGAAGAAGCGCCGCCGTGGGAACGACAACCCGCGCAACGACAACAGGCCCCCCAACCAGCCACCAACTGGCCGGACGCGTGCCAGTGCTGACCTCCTTCCTCCCCCGAGGGCGAATGCCTTTCACACCTTGAGAGCAAAAGCACCGCACGAGTGGAAGAAGAGTAAACGTCAGGGCACCGAAAGCGGGGTAGCCATGCATGTGGAGGTTGAAAGCCATGTCCGGATAGGACAAAATGCGTTGTCCCTGGTGGGTGTTCCCACGAGTAGCGGAGAAAGCGCCATGTTAAACTTACGGTGGTTCTCAAAATTGTTAAGTTGGGTTGAGTTTCAATATCCTTCGGTGAAAAAACGGCCATGGCGTCGATTGCAGATTCAGGCTTCTTCACGCATCAACAATGCCTTGATCGCTTTTTTTTAGTCGATTCGTCCTGGTGTACTTTGTCGTTCAACTAGAAACGGTTTGGGGGTCTTTTGCGCTGATGTTCCTTGTTGTGTAATGTTTGCTTGTTTGCGTCGATGCGATAGATCCACAGCCACCGCTTCAACTTTTCCCCATCCTTGTTCAGTAGCTCTGCTTCCTTGGCGTCCGTGGGAGATGTTGGCCCCACCCTCCTTCCTACCTGGCTGACACGAAACGGCCTTGTTCTCCGAAAAAAAACACACGAACAAAATCGACCCGCGCTAGCCACCAGGAGCGCATTGTGAATAGCAGGCACCCGCTTTGGCGTGTGGCAGTGCGGAGACTCAGTTGGTGTTTCTGCTGGCTTTCAATCTCGACTTGTTCGAGGGCGGGGTATCACACGGTGGTGTACATATGGAATCAATTTAGCAGAGACAACCAACTTAGCAGAGCTGAGGCGCTGAAGAGGTGTTGACTGCAGCCAGGGTAGTGGGGACTGCAAGGACAGGTTGGGAAGGTGGGCAGTGCGTAGTGGACCATCAGTTCGGAGTTTGGAATTTGGTGCAATATTTTGAGCACATCAGGGGTATCCTCTGCCCTCGGCGTTGGTGATCAGTGTTTGTGCAGAAGCTCGATTGGAGGAGTTGATTAGTCTAGAGAAAAAAAAATAGACTATTCATGAAGATATTTTTGTGTATTCTCATGCACTTGTGGTGGTGAAGCAGGGCCTACAACCGAAACGAAAAGGTCCCTCGACAAATATACACAGATCGTGCGGTGTTAGTTTCAATGGCCAGCGTGTGCATGCAACAAGGGACTCGACAGATCTTACGGCATTGTGTATGGATTCGGTGGCTGAACGATTTGTTTATTGTTTCTCGTGTTGGATTATGTTACTGAGTATTGAGTTCCTGGAGAGAGAGGTAATCGAGCCCCAGAAAAATGTGCAAAATATGTTGTTGGTGTCTGCATTCGTGTGTGTAGTAGTAGTCCTCGATCTCGTCCTTACCGGAGGTGATGTTTCGATGTCCATCAATGTACTCAGCATTTTTGTCTGAAAAGGTAGGGGATAACAGAAATGGCAGGTCATTTTGTCGGCGGTCAGCATGCCTGTACGTTACATAGCCATTCTTTGGGCACACCTCTGACGAAACAGAGGTGTAGGGAATGGGTTGGAAGTTCTTTAAAAGCAGAATTGAATTGACTGTCTGACAGTAGTGGCCGACTGCAGGCACCGTCCGATCGGCTTTTAAAAGTGCGCGTTTCTTGCGCAGCAGACGCAGAAGCGCCTTGATGATGGAGGGTGATGCATCAAGCATGCAAAACGTGTGACACGGACGGACGACGCGCGTACCGAACAATTATTAAGTACCATGCCGGAAGACAGTGCTTTCAATCCCACACCCATGAAAAAGCGACGCAACGTTACTGCTTCCGATCTCCATCGCCATAGCAGCCTCAATTTTCGGCATTGTACTTCCGGTGGTATAGTACCGGGAGTCAACATCACCCCAGCCCAGCGGTGGCCACAAATCTTCACAGGCATATGCATTGTTGATTACCAGGGGGACAGGTGGCGGCCCCACGATTATGGCTGACTGATGAGTGGATGATGAGAAGGGCGACCACGATTTTTTATTGTTTTTCTGGAATTCGGTATACAACTGTGAGGTTTCAATATACCTGCATTCAGGGGAATACGCCCCATGCTGCGATGTTTGCGTGTGCAGATTTCGATTTTGATTGCTTCCGAAAAGTCGACGGCACATCTAGCGCAAAATACATGCACAGACGAAACCAGTAGTGTGTAACAAGATGAGGTCAACTCGTTCGTGTTCCCACCCACCCCCCGTTTCCTTGTTTGAAAGTATAGACAGGCCTCGCAGACAAACGGCCGATAGGTATGCTTCTCGCAAAAAAGGTCTCCTTGAGTAGGAAGGTAAAAACTCGAATAGCGCTTGTTGTTTGTGTTCGTGCGTGGAGGTAGATTAGTCGGATTGTACCAAATCACTGGCGGTTTCGTGTACCGCAGATGGGATTGCCTTGAGGGGCGGCTAGAAGAGACCTTGAGATACGAGTTGCGGGCCCCCTTGCCGACTGGCTTTGGGCCTGGCACTCTTCCTCCCTCCTTCTCCCTCATGTCCCCCTACGATAATACATGCCGTTTACAACACTCTTTGGACTCTGGAGGTCACACAACAAGGGCATACCAACATTCTATAAATGCATCCCCGATGATCTTCAGAGTTCAGCTGTGGTGAGAAGCAGCAGCAGGAGCGTTGTGCGTGATCCCGTGGTAAGGACATTACTGAGTGACACGACGCACAAGGTTTGAGTAGGGTTTTGAGTTGAGGCGAGAACCAGGGGTGTAGGAGATGATGGGCAGGCTGCCATCGCTTCTGCAGGCCAAGTCGGGTGGGCGAGGCCAGGATTAGTCGGGCCGTGCTGCGAGAGGCACGGCAGGTGCGGCGGGATTTGTGTGTTCCACCGAGCAGCCACCAAGAGCTGCGTGGTCGTCAGGGAGGGCGACACTGCGGGAGGAGAGAGCAGCAGTAGGCCGGACGTGGATGGCGCCCTGGTGCGGGCTGTTGAGGTCCCTGCTGAAGGTGTGTTTGGTGCATTCCAGTACACCAACTCTCTCCGTCTGTTGTAGAAGTTGTGGCAGAGCTGTTGCACAGCAGAGTTGCTACCGCTGGGGGCACTAACGAAAGTGTCACAGCGACCGACTTTTCCACTCAGGAGGGGTTGGACGAAGTTAGGCGGCGCCAAGAGGATGCTGTCGACGGTGGGGATGCTGTGTAGTGCATGTCCACCAGGAGTCCCAATGGGGGCTCCATAGAGCGGGAGCACGGAGGCTGCCGCTCGCCCGCAGGTGCGGGTCGTGGGAGCAGAGGAGAGTATCCGCTACTCCCGAGCCAGTTGCTATGTCGGTTTGTCCCCATTAAAAGGGCGTGTAGGAGGGGGCANGCGAACACGGGTGGAGAACACTCGTGTACACTTGAGAGTAGTGTGTGCTCTCTTGTGTTTATCCCCATTAAGGAGCGTGTAGGAGGGGGCACGCTTTGGGTTCCCCAACCCGTCTTGTGTGCGGGGAAGGGTACCAGAAAAATCTTGCTGGCCCCGATGGATATGCGGGGAGAGAAGTGCTTCCTGGCCCCGATGGATAGGCGGGGTATCACGGGAGTTGTGTGAGAAGTGCTGGAGTATTTGGCCACACCCAGCAGCACGGCAGTGGCCGTGGCTGCCTTCTACCAAGAGCGGGAAGGGGGCAGCGAACATCAAGGCGCGTGGGGTACCGCGTGCACTCTACATCATCAGCTGGCGGGGCCCGGAAATACGTAGCTGTGGGATGGTGGAGTTCAAAGACACGAGAAAGCCGTCGTGTGCCTGTCTGCTACACCGCTACACCGAGGAACGTCGGGACGCCGAGGGACGTCGGGTGTGGGCGGGTGGGGAGGGAAGCAAAACGGACCAGCCGCGCGGTGGATTTCCGCGGGCACTAGTTTATCTTCATTTTGGTTGGTACCGGAATGTGTTTTTTTTTTTTTTCTGATTCTTTTGTATGTGGCGTTTAGCAGTAAAGGGCGATAACTTGTATTGCACGTGAATAGTCGCAAGTGAGGCGCTGTTGCGGACTTGCATAGATCGCTGTGAATTGCTTGTTGAAATCCATGGGTGTTTCTGCCGCCACATGCTCGAGTTTCACGCGTCACCGCTTGTTTTGTGTTCCCTGTGTGGCCTGTGTGGTTGCAGAATAAGGGAGGGTGGCGCCGTGCGTGGGTTTTTTGTTTTGGAGAGTGTAATGCTCAGAGAGTTTTGCGCCCGGCCTGTAGATATTCTGCAATGTGACAGAGTTATGGTCGTCCACTCAGGTCGTCCACTCATGATTGAGGTGGAACTATTTCGGTCTTGCAGTTGTTGGATGACGGAGGGCGTTGCCTCTTGGATGTTGTTGGACTCTCTTTACGGGAGGAGTTTGGTCATGTTTCCACGATGTTGCATGTACCATGTGTCTGATTTGTTGATTGAATGCTGGACGATCGCCACGTGTATGTGCTTCTAGGCAACCAAGTGACTGAGTAGTCTGGTGAATAAGACCATGTAACGAGTAAGGATACGCCGGGAGTTCGAATCTCACCAGGCGTCGCCTTTGTTCAAGGAATGAAGAAAGGAAAGCGCCTTTCCGAGAAGGGGAAAGCGACGCGCGTTGTTTGGCACACTAGAGAGGGCGTATGAAGTCGTCCCCAACTACTAGGCATGTGTTGCGTAAGGAAGGGCATACGGCGTGTAGACTATCAGTGTTGTTCGAGGAGCGGACAATGGATATCAGGTGCATTGTAGGTGGCTATTTTGGCCAAGTTTGTCGTACGACCTCACCAGAAAGGTAGGGGTGTGGTTGATGATTTGTTTTTGTGCTGCCCAGAGAGGACCTTGTCGAGGCAGCCGAGCGTGGCGTAGAGAGCGAGCCGGGGGCGGTGGTAGATATTGTCTTGCCTTGATGTTGCAGTACGGCCGTTGGAATCTTTCGTGATATGAACGGCGTGAAGGCCTTGAGATTTGTAAGGGGTTTTGATCCGATGGCGGGTTTCCCCTTGTTTCTGATTTGCGTTGTTTTAGGTGCTTTTCGGATGTACTCTTCGACGCACGAGTGGTGGTTATTCACTGGCGTAAAGAACCAAGGGAGGGTGTTCGTGCGTGGAGGTAGATTAGTCGGATTGTACCAAATCACTGGCGGTTTCGTGTACCGCAGATGGGATTGCCTTGAGGGCGGCTAGGAGAGACCTTGAGATACGAGTTGCGGGGCCCCTTGCCGACTGGCTTCGGGCCTGGCACTCTTCCTCCCTCCTTCTCCCTCATGTCCCCCTACGATAATACATGCCGTTTACAACAATCTTTGGACTCTGGAGGTCACACAACAAGGGCATACCAACAGTTTGGTTGCTTCGCATTATCCTCTCGTGTCGAAAATCCGTAGTCGAAAAATCCGTGGCGGCTCCTGGTCACCGATCCAAGCGCGCTCGACGCCACTAGGAAGTCTTTGGTACACACGCGCCCGACATGCTAGAATACGCGGAGCTGTTGACGGTTCTTGGGGCGCAAAATCAAAGCAAGCATTGGTCTAGGAAACCAGGCGAAGTCGAGAGAAGTGGGAGGGGGTTGCGAAGATTTCCGCATCTGCCGAACAGCCACCGCAAAAGAGGCATATTTGCCCTTCAGAGGCACGTATGATGTTCGTATGTTTGGATACGGACTGGTTAGATCTACCGGCAACAACAGAGAGCACACAGATGGGGCATATGTACACCTTGAAATGGTTGCATGTGCGGGGACCCCTCGAACTCCAAAGAGGGCTTCACTTCTCCCTACTCTCCTTGCGTGTCTAATACAAGAGATAAAAGGTCTTCCCCTTCCAAGTAAAAGACATATACGAACATAGTTTGTCGAGGGAGAGTTNGTGGCCCTGAGGATGCAAGTTAGCTCGCTGACGGATCAGATGAGCCAGCTAATGTCTCTAGTGGAGGATACCATGAAGGCAAGCAAGATGGAGGAGCCAGCTGGCACCATGGAGGGTGCCGCTGATCGTGGCGATGCTTGGGAGAGCGCCGCCGCGGAGTCCACGAACGCCGAAGGAGGGGCACCGTGGACCGGGAGTGTGCAGGACGGGAGGTACCTGCGCGAACCTGTTCGAGAGTCTGGCCCGTCAGGGCGACACAGCGGCGAAGCAGGGGGCTTTGTCCCCCAAGAGATGAGAGTAGCCGCTGCTCACAACCAAGATTATAGTAATAGTGCCATGGGAGATGGTGGTGTTGCTGTTGGCTTTGGATACGGAGCCACAACCAGCGACGGGGTACCAAGGTGTGCGGTACACTTCTCCTCCGTTCAGCGGGAAATCGAAAGATTTCAACCGATGGCTAAATGATTTCCGCATGGCAGCTAATGGCGCAAACCTGTTGGAACAA